GTGGTCCAAAGCCCCCCCCCCCCGTTCCAGCTCTCACCCATGGGAAGGTAAGCAGAATCGTAATCCACAATTCACATTCTTTCCTACTTGATGACCAGTCCAGTTCCCTAATCCAAAGCCTCCCAGTCAGAGTCCTCTTGAGTTGTGATGACTTCCAATTGAAAACAGCCCACATGAAAAATGGCTGTTACAAGATACCTTCCAACTCCCAGCCAGGAAGGAGGCAAGATGGCTACCCAACCACATGGGGGGAATAGAAATTGCAGCTGCAGGGTCCAGGCAGCTGCAACCAGCCTGACCCAGCCCTACCTCCACTACAGCAAAATCCCCCATCTCCACACAACCACAATAGAAGAAAAAGGCAGCCCTCATCTGCACTCCTGTAGCACCTTTGTTCTCACTCTGGAGTACACATCCTCTCTCTAAGATGACAGAAGGTTTCCCTGATAAAAGGCTTCCTCTGGCGGGGGGCGGCAGCACCAGTCTCCTTCCCACCACCGCATCCCTGAAAGCTGCAAAATGCATCCAGCGCAAAGCAGCCAATCTGTGTACCTAGTGATCCAACAGTCCAGCCGCCGCCACCACCAGCTCCCATTCCCCAAAGCAATTCTCCAAGCCGCAAACCAGGTAAGGGAGTGAGCGCTGGGCATGTCACATGATTCTGTCGCAAGCCACCAAAAGGCCTGGCAAGGTATACAAACCACGCAGGCCAGATAGCAGGACAGTCCAGCCCAGTCTGGTTGGGAAATGACTCCAAAAGACTCCTCCACCATCCAGTCCAAAACATTAAACCTCCAACCATCCACAACATACTTAAGTCCTCTAAAGAACAGCATCCGTTCCATACAAGCATCCCAATTCAGCGCCGTACCCACACTGTTGCAAGATACAAAAAAGGGTCTGTCATTTACCAGCTACCTAATTAAAATATATATATATATACACACACACACACACAATATACAACACAATACAAATATATACAAGTTTTCCCACGAAACGTTTGTCTGTCTCTCTCCATTCCTGCCTCCTATTTTCCCCACAACAACAACCGTGAGGTGGGTTGGGCTGAGAGAGAATGACTGATCCAAGGTCACTCAGCCAGCTTTCATGCACTTTCCAGCCAGGCCTAGAATTCACAGTATCCTGGTTTCTAGGCCAGCACCTTAACTACTACACAAACTGGCTCTTTCTTGTGAAATGAGCAGTCACTGAGAATCCCCCTTCTGTTATTTTTGTTTGAATTTGGTACATAATTAGAAGGATATCTGTTTGGTTTCTGGGGCTGTGGGCCAAAACTTTCTAAGGATATGGATTAATTAAAGATGCTCAAACTCCTTACTGAATAGGCATCCAAACCTGATTATGTGGTCTGTTAGGTAGAATTGGCAGGGCAAAATACCCACATTGTTGCAAGATATAAAAAAGGATCTGTCATCTGCCAGCTACCTAATTAGAATTTAAGGATTGTTTGCCTCAGTTTTGGAAGTTATCCCAAGTTTTTAGAAATCCAATTTTATGTTTTTGATTATCTTTCATAATGACTCTAATGAACCTTTACTCTCCAAATCTGCATTTTCCTATGTGGCAAAAATTGTAAATTTCCTTAACTGGAAAATAAATTTGCAAATCAAATCATTAAGGGGGGCTAAATTTCTCTTAAAGTAAGTTCTTTTTTTTTCTTTTTCCTTTTGTTTGCATGTTGCATTTTGGGACGTGGCTAGATTAATGCTGAGATTTTATTATTCCTCTTTTTAGCTCTTGCATCTGGTGGTTCTCTTCCAATAACATCGCTGGATTCCTTTTGTTTGCATGTTGCATTTTGGGACGTGGCTAGATTAATGCTGAGATTTTATTATTCCTCTTTTTAGCTCTTGCATCTGGTGGTTCTCTTCCAATAACATCGCTGGATGCAACTGGGAATTTGGTATTTGCCAACGCTGGAGGTACACCCAACATTGTAACTGCCCCACTGTTCCTGAACCCTCAGAATCTTTCACTGCTCACCAGCAACCCGGTTAGTTTAGTCTCTGCAGCTGCAGCCTCCGCAGGGGCCTCTGGACCAGTCGCCAGCCTTCATGCCACCTCCACCTCAGCGGAATCTGTCCAGAACTCTCTCTTCACAGTGGCCTCAGCCAGTGGGGCTGCTTCTACCACCACTACTGCCTCCAAGGCACAGTGAGTTGGGCTGAGTTGTGCTAACCCTAGCCTGTTTCATGCTGCAGTGAAATTGGCTGCCGGCTGGGCTTCTGAACTGCAAATTGTGATTGGCTTCCTCATGCCGTCTTACTGGGGACAAGGGAGAGAAGGAAAAATATTAGAAACAGGAAAAAAAAACAGCAAGAAAAAGAAGGATTTAAAACTGGGACAAACAATTGCCTAATTTTATAAGAAACACTGTCTTTTCAGGATTGCTTCATTGATTGGAGAACTTTCTAACCAAAAATGTAAAAAAAAAAAAAAAAGGACTACTTATCATTTCCAGCAGTCTCAGTGACAAGTTAAGGTGGGTTATCAACTCAAACATAGGAATGGGTTTTCTTTTCTTTTTTTTTTTTTTTTTGATCTGAATATCTTTTCTTTTTTTTTTTTTTGATCTGAATATCTTTTCTTTTTTTTTTTTTTGATCTGAATATCTTTTCTTTTTTTTTTTTTTGATCTGAATATCTTTTCTTTTTTTTTTTTTTGATCTGAATATCTTTTCTTTTTTTTTTTTAATTATCACTTATTGGTCTGTTGTACAGGCCATAATATCATACAAGATGTTTATAATCTTATCAATCGTGTTGGGGGTTCCTTTCTTAACTGGTACAGTTTAGGCAGGCCTGTATTACTTGTGTATCTCTTTATGATTATTATTATTTTTTATAGAGAGAGAGAAAGGAAGTTTGGACACATTTCTCTTTGCTCCTGGAACAGTTTCAGTGAGCTCCCATGCCACACAGAGGGAAGAGAGAAGAGAGGGAAGCATGTGAATCACAAATGTTCTTTACAATTTCCTTGTCCTTGGTGGTGTGTTTTCTGAGATTCTCTCAGAAGTGTTGGCAGTTAAAATAAACATACTGAGGGTAATGTGCAAAGATCGTCCACGCATGTGAGGTGGGAGTTTTGTTTAGATAGCAGTTTGCTCATCATATTTGGCCAAATCTAGCCCTCATTTGCACGTCTTTGGCTCTTGTTGATGCCAAGGGGGGGAAGGATTTGGCCTGTAGAGAGTCTGTTCCAACAATTGTGCTGATGATTCTCGTATTTCCTAATTGCATGGAAATTGCCACTTGACAACTTTGGGAATATTTCTGTTATTTACTTTCTCAGGAGGCTGCCTATATTGCTGATGACTCATATGCATCCACTGAATCTTCCTACCAGCTGTTTGGCATAGGATTTCAAAAAGCTGCATTGGCTCATCTCTAAAAAAATTTTTCCTGGAGTCTCTTGATTGTATGATTGTATTAAAATTGTTTTGAATTTAAAACATTTCTGTTCCAGAAGTAAACTGGGTCACATGAACAGGAAGTACTATTTATGCCAACACAGCCATAAAAAGCAGCCTTGTAATCTTGTTCCATTCTAAACAATTTGTAGTGTTTTTACCATTGCTTGCTGCTGTGGAAAATGGTGGTGAGGAATGATTGGAAAACTGGCCAACTTGCTGTGGAATACAATGAACACTGGCATGTTGCATGTGTTTTACAATGTTTCATGCTCTTTCTGGTTTTTGCTGCTAGCTAAATCATTTATGGCAGTAAACATCTCTACGAAAGAGGGAAAAATTGTTTTCGAGCATCAAGTGGTATGTGCAAACAACTGCTGACAATGGATGAGAGAGAGTGAGAGAGAGACGGAGGAAAGGAGACAGAGAAATGTTATATTGACCTGAACCCACATTTTCTCAGATGAAAAGAAGTTGGATTGCTACAGCATAGCTGGCTCTTTCCTATCTCTTTGAGCCAAATTGGGAAATACCAGAACTGCTCAATGTTCCTTTCCATTAATACATGGGATGGGGGGAAGAGGAAGTTCCTAAGTTCACATAGCTGCAATCTATCCCCTGCCAAAAAAAAAAAACCTTGTCTCTCATCATCTAATAACAGAAAGACAGTTCATTTCTAATGCCATCTCTGATTGGTGACCCCAGTTCACAGACCTTGCATTTTACTGTCAACTGACAGAAATCTGTCTCCTCTCCACCTGCTATCATGCTACCTGCTCTCTGTTCATCTCTGAATCTTCAACTTCCTGATTCACAAGGTATTTAAATATAAGAAATTTTTCCTAAAACTTAAAAAAAAAAACTCGTGAACTGCAAGCAGGGAAATGAGCAAATGTCCGTCCACCGTCTTTAATGTGTGTTTTTTTTTTGATGTTTTATTTTTTTAAAACTAAGCTTGAACCAAAGTCAATTTCTAGCAAGCTGCTGTACTAATGGACTAGTTTGTATAAGTGCAGTTCAGATGCAGAGAGGTGATAGATGCTACTGACAATTTCTTTTCATTTGTTTATTATTTTATATAAAAAAAATTGCTGCTTGTTTTAATCTTTTGGTGGGGAGAGGTTGATCTTTTTGTATATCCTTAGGGCAGAGTCTTAACTTGATTATTTTCTAATTTCCGTGGTGTGTGTGTGTGGGGGTGTTAAATAGAATGGCAATGGCAGATGGTTACTAATTTAGCTGATTCTGCATCCTCCTTAGCAGTTTGGGTCAGTCTAAATACTTGGGGTATGCTATCTCCATGATTTTAGTCTCAGAATAAAATTATAATATTTTGTGTCAAAAGTTTGACTCATAGCAACGGCATGGGGGAGTCAAAGTAGGTAAGGAGGCAGGACAAATACTCAAGATGCTGGTCTATAGGCCATAATGTTAACTAATTTCTACCAAAGGAAATATCAGTCCAGTAGAATTTTTATTTTGTCCATTGAAAAAAAGATTTTGCTTTTTTATACATGCACAAACACACACATACTTCTAAAAACAAAGAAGGTGATGGTGACTTTTGATTGTGTTTGCTCATCTGTAGGCTTCAAACATTAAGGAAAAGGTCCTTTGGATTTATGTACCAAAAACAAAAATTGCCCCGTTTTATCATCATAAACATTTCAAGGACATTCAGGGAAATTAATTTGGTTTATCTGCCTGTAGTTCATTATGCTTCTTGTTAGAAGGTGTGATACAGAGATATTTGGAATGCTAATTAGCTCAGATGATGGCTATAAAAAGTTTGTTTCTTTTGAATTGCTCATACAATGTGTCAATCCAACATTATATAAACTTATTTATACACATTGTTTAGATCTTTCCACTTTCCCTGTGTCATACACAAAAATAGCTATATTCCTGAGAGGTGTTATAACTCTTCTATGAGAGAAACTGGAAGTTCAAAAACAAACAAACTAGCAATTGTTTGGTTGAATTCTAAGTTTCATGTTTGATTTAAGTGGTTCAGTTATATATTTGATGAGTTATCAGGATATTGTTAAAAATTTCCAATAGTACAAAAATACTGGAATTTTAATGGTGATCACTATTATTATTTTGCCACCTATTTACCTCTACCCAGTAATATGCATGCTCCATAAATTAACATATAAACATTATTGCACAGTCTAGAGTAATCGATCATCAGCTTCCATAATATTGTAATAATACTTACAATTGATTTAAAACTTCAGCAGAGTATCAGATGTGGACAGTTGGAGAATCTGTCCAGGAATAAACAATCTGGAGGGCCGCAGAACTCATACATATTCTAATAGTTGTGACAACCTTCTGATAGTCACTACAAATACAGTTTATGTACTCAAAAATATGTGCACTGTATATGTATCCTCTAATGATGAGAGTTGATAACTTATTAATTCTATCAGTTGAGCTAATTGTGTTCCACTCTGTCAGTGTTCTAGAATACATTGCAAATGAAATTGTTTCCATTTCATAGATGGGTTATTTTGCTGTCCTGTTCATTACATTCAGTCAGATGTAATTTTATGAACCAGAATCTGCAATATTATTCTGTGACCTTATTGTCTTATTTTACATCAGTCTTCTTCTATCTGGTATCCTTCACAGGCATTGGATCACCTTTCTCTTTGCTTCCATACAGAAATAGTGCTGGCTGGGGGTGATGGGAATTTCAGTTCAGTGCATCAGGTGAACCGCAGGTTGGAGATGATTGTGCCATAGAAATTTATTGCAGATTCATGGTGGAACAGGTAGATTTCTATCCTCATTTATCCAGTCTTTGCAGCTACAGATTATTTATGAACAATCTATTCTTTTCAGATAATTGGAAAACTTTTGATTACTCTTAATGAAGCTAAAATGCCAGAATGTTGAAGAAATACTACTTCCTTGAAGGGTGTAAAAAGAGTGACAGCTTGAGAAAACAAATCTCTTGGCAGATATTTTAAGGTAACACTTTAGGGTTGATGTAACTTGTAAGTATTTAAGATCTTTGTAGACACTTTCTGTAGTAAGAAAGTTGTTTTTCCAGCATATACACAAATAACTTAACAACAGTTTTTGGAAACATTAAACCCATGAAATTTAGTATTTCAAAATTGGCTTTCCATTTTTCATTTTGAACATGTGTTAACCAGTCTGTACATAATGGATTTCATGTATGATCATATGTGCAACAAGCATCATATGAATATGTCCTTTTTAACAGTTCACTGTTCAAGAGCATAGCATTCATGCTTTTCTGACATATTGTGGCTCCTTTTTGTTCAAGGCTTGAGCTTTATGTAAGGCTACTAAAGGCTACTTTTTTCTCTGTTTTCTTTTTCTGTTGAAAATGTATATATGTAACTATATCAATAGCTACTTTATTGACACACAGCTATTACTGTCATGCCAGTAGGCTGTCCAAATATCCTGTTGGTTCAAGTAGGTCTTCCAGGCAGTCTGCAGTAGCTCAACCCACACTGAATGATGTTGTTCAGATTGAAGAGCCAGATCTCCAGAAAACATTATATCAGACTAGGTTCTTACTAGTTCATAATTTTTCTTGACTTTACTGTAAACATCCTCTGGAAATATATAATATTCATTGTCTGGCCATTTGTAACCTAATGCTACAAATCACCAGAAATCAAGCTAACAGCTCACCCTGTTGAACTGCCCAAGTAACACAGGGAATAAGAAACCTGAGCCTAATACTAGGTCAGTTTGTTTTAGAGATATTGAGATGTTACTCTTGAAGACTGGATTCCTAGGACCTGTAGAGTGGCTATACATAAAATATGGATTACGTATCTCAGATGTGACAGCAGTGGGATGGATGTACTCTCTCTAAAAGTATAGGAACTTTTTGCCATTTATCTACTTACATACAAAGGTCTGTATGTTCAGTGGTTCTATCTGATGCCTACAGAAGGTTGAAAGTAATACAGTGATCAATTTAATACTCCCAGAATCTGAATAACCATTAAGGGAATGGGCCAAGTTCATGTGAAATTTAGGTAACATGATGTGGCAATATAAAAAAGCATGCTTAAGTTTGATAGGAAGAATTCCTATAAAGGAAAGTGCAATCCTAGACCACAATTTA